TAGAAATCATTATAAAGAATAAGTTTACTTAATACATAAAAGTTGTTTTTATTAATAAAATAAAAAGTTTAATATATGACAACTATTTTTGTTTAATTATAATAATTCTTAAGTAGTTCTTTATTTATTAGGGGGACTGTACAGATGGGTAGCACAGCATTAAGGCGATTTTATATGACCAAAAATTATTAATTTTAATATATTTTTTTTATTATTTAAAAAAAAGTTTATCAATGTGTTGCATAACCTTTTTTTTTTATTACTTCTCTTATATGTTTAGGCATAGTATCTATAAATTTATAAATTTTGTCTAATTCAATATTTTCCCACCCCGCAGTAATAGCCTCTTCTAAACTAGATTTGTTATATGGTTTTCTATTCTTATTAATCCAAGATTTGACTTTTCTCCATACATTTTCAATTGGACTAAGATCCGGTGATTGTGGTGGCCATTCTATGGATGTAATTTCAAGTTTGGATTTTAAATCATTTACAAATTTACATTTGTGAATGGGAGCATTGTTCTCTTGTAATATTCCTTCATTAGAAATTAAAAGTATTGGATAAATAATGTCCAAAACAAGATTCCCATATTCTTCTCTGTTCATGTGAAATGAAACATGTATTAAATGATGCAAGTTATATCCACTAACACATCCTCAAACTATAATTGACTTGCGACCACTTTTGACGGTTGCTTGTGTACAATTTGGGTCATAAAGTTCATTTTTATGACATCAAACCCGAATTTTTCCATTAGAATTGGTGCTTACGGAGGATTCATCTGTCCATATAATTCGTTTCCAATCTTCTTTAGTCCAATTCAAGTGTTTTCTGGCCTATTTTAATCATTTTAAATGATTAGCTTCACTTATCATAGGCTTTTTATATGTAATATAAGATTTGATACCATTTTTTTTTAAAGTTCTCATTAAAGTATACATAGACATAGGAGTTTCAGTTTTACGTGAAATTTAGACAGTAAGTTTGTGTTTTGTTATTTTTCTTAATGATAGATCTGATTTAATTTCATGTAAAATTCAGTGTTCGAGATGTTTGTTGATAATTGATTTAGCTGCACTATTCTTTCTTTTGAAATAATCGGTACGATTGGCTGATTTCCACCTACAAATACAATTTTTGACTGCTGTCGCTGATTATCCAATTATTTGGGCAATTTTAGCAACAGACATTCTTTCTTTTTTGAGTTTTTTTATCATGTAGCATTCTTCTTTTGTAAGATCTTTTTTGTGACCCATTTTTGTGTATAAACAAATTTTCATACCATTTCTTACTTAAATAAATAAACAACACAAAAAGGAAAATCTTTTATTATTAACAAATAATTGCTTTGTATATAACTAAAGCTTTATTATTATGATCAAAACTTTTGTACGTCTAAAATTTTTTTACAATCACCCTAATGCTGTGCTATCCGTCTGTACATGTTTCCTTATTACCATAAAAGAATTATTTACTAATTGTTACTTAGTAATATAAACATAATATGATTTTTAAAAAATGTCTGAATTAAATATGAACACATGTATAAAATTCAAACCTTTGTCCATCCACTATATAAAGTAACTGTAATTAAGTGTTGAGTATTATAGTCTGTTGATATAGCAGACATTTCTTTTTGAGTCGGAGGTTTTGTTTCACCAGTTTTTTTTTGAAATGAATTATTACATTATGAACCGTTGATTTAGGTATATTAAATGTCTATTATGGTAATTTGAATCCATTTATTTTCTGACAACTCTCTATGTTTTTGTATCATTGCAAAAAAAAATTCAGACATTTTTGAAAATCCTAGCTTTTGTTAACTCTAACAATGTAAAATTTATGGAACTTATAATGATTTTCTTCGTTTGAAAATTTTACCCAAATTGATCGACGTCCGGTAGGGGGCGTACAATGCATGCGAAGCATATTTAAAGTTAAGATAGCTTTCATGCAAATCTTTGGTGTCTGCACATTCTTGAAGTAAATCTTTCGTTTTAAATAATAAGAAGAATTTATCTCATTCAAGTATGGTGAAATTCAGGAAAGATGTGCGGTGCTGTAATATAAAGAGTGAAGATCAAGAGAAAATACATGGGGCCCGTCTCCTAATCTCGTGAGAAAACCTCATTTTCTCAATTAAGAAAAAAAAAAAAAAACATCACGGATTTAACTAAATTATATACAATGTCACTCACGGAATTCTAACGTCGATACTATGTACTATTTGATAGTGTAAATGCCAATGACTTGAAAGCTTTGGTTAGCTTTTAATTGATATCAATTTAGATATTATACGGAGATTAATGTTTTCAAATAATAAACTTTATTAAATTTTAAGATATCAAACTTAGATTCTTTGATTCCACAGAAAGAAAAACTTCTTTTTGTAGCTGGTCTGCGTTCCCTTAGGATGCATCTTGAAGGGATGAAGCAGTTTTTTGTTTGTTAATGTAATCCTTTCAACATCTAGGATTTGAACGTATCCACGTAAATATAAGTTATTTGCGCTTACTTTACATTAACAATCACAATCCCTCGACAACTTGCAAATCCACGCCCTTTCTTCGTGAGAGTCTATTGTTCCAGTACGAATTTTTTTCCCAATATATATACATCTTTCTTTCTTTTGTTCACTTTTATCTCACAATGCTTGCTCCATTCTCCTTTGCGCATTATTATTATTATTATTTCCATAAAGACAGTAAAAAGACATTAGGAAATCGAATAAACTGCTCTTTGAGTCATGATTAGTGAATTCACTTTTGTCGGTAAGAGTTGGTCGTGAAAAAGCTTGAAGTTCGTGGGATTTTCTATTCTATTCCTATTCTCCTTTTCACAATAGAAAGAGTGGTGATCGAGGTGTACGTGTACCTTTGGTTTCTCCAACGAGCATGGATAACCGATAGATTTGAACATCTAAGATGGAAGCGTTTGAAAAATATGGAGTTGAAATCTATCGTCATATTATCAATTTTGGTGATAATGCCTATTCAAGGGGTGCGTACCCGAAATTGTTGTATAAATGCGCTGGTTTTTTTTTTTCTTTTTCGATAAATTTTATTTCAATAATTAGGCATTCGATTTGATATGGATAAATTTGAAATATCAAGAAGGTCGGTTTTACTGAACCTCGGAACCAGAAATAATGTAAGAAGTATTCACGAAATTCCAATCATTAGGTTTATTCCAAGTAATGGACAACGAAAACTCCACGTTAGTTCCGAAATATTATGATCAATGGGCAACTTCAAACTATCGTATTAAGAACGTCACAGAGTATTTACTTTGTATAAATTTTGCCCTTCAAACGTGAGTTCCTTTTGTCCTGTTGAATAAGGCAAGGCGAGGTTTAATTAATCTGTATATTACCAAATTTAATATTAGAACAACGCTTCTTTTACTACAATTGTTCTGGAATCATCTCGCGAATCATTGGGGCAGATCATTCATGGTCTCATTGGAATTTAAAGTTTATGTTGTTTGGGGTTTCTTGTCTATGACTTCGTTCCCCCTTGCTCGCTGGCTCACCAAAGATGTCTTCCCTTATACTGAGGTAACATTCAATGTACTTTCTATTCAGACACGTTTTAATCAATTCTTTCGTTAATATTCCCAAATCCAAATTCTTTTTTAGGTTATACCGCAAATGTTATTTTCTGCCGAGTTAATAATTATCTTTCTAATTGGGGTAAGATATTTCTAAATGTATTTTAATTCCCTTCGATAGAGATGGATTAATTATAATACTTATTTATTTTATGGTTATACGTAGTTACGAAACCAACGAAAGCTATTCTTACTCCTTCAGTCAATCCAATATCAAGAACAGCAAGAGACCACCGGTCAAGAGACTATCCTTCAGATTAATTATTTTATCGAGATGAACATGCTCTTAACAGGAGGTGCCTTGTTAATCGCCATTCCACTCCTAATTCTCGACATTGACGCTCTCACAGGAAAAACTGTCAACAACTCAAAATTTATTTCGGATTTATTAATGATCCATTGTAATCTCAGTTCCCTGATATTGTGGATAATAACGATATTGATTATCTATCCTCGATATTATATGATTGGGCTGTTTGGTAGCAGACTTCTAAGCAAAAGATCATTGAATCGAATTAGTAATATTCCAAGTGGTTACTTTGGTAAACATTCGGATCAGACGGTTACTGGCGGAAGTAATTTAGGTCGTAATAGTTCCAAGTATAGTATTAGTAGCTCCACGAAGGCAAAGAGTCACTCGCACAGTAAGATCATAGACTTTGAACCTCTTGAATTTGGTCATGATTTTTCCAATTCTGATTTTAAAATTTCATTTGACACCACGAACCAACAATCATCGAGAGGATCAATGAGTTCACTGGATCATCCTGAATATAAAATCTCAAATTCAAATATTTCTTCTACTAAAACGTTAGTTTTAGATAGTCTTAGTAACTCACGACCTAATTCATCACGGCGGAACTCGAAATTTTTGACCCCTTCTAAAACTTCATTATCACTTGGCTTACAAAAACCCCCACCAAGACCAGCATCAACATCGCTGGTAAATTCACTTCCGAGCTACAGAAGTTCCTCGTCATTACCATTAAGTTCATCGACAAGCTCGCTACCATCAAACCTTAGAAACCATTTACTATCAACTTCCCTATCTCCATCCTCTCCACCGGCATTCACATCGAACCACAGACGCATATCATCAGTTAATGAGCACGATGACACACGAACGTCGAGTACAAGCTCAAGCTATGCAGATGATGAAAGTTATAGAAGTTGTACGAACTATTTGATGGATGGCGATGACGATATACGAAGAAGTCTGTATTGATGAGGGCGAAAGTTCACGATTACAAGACGAATCATTTTGGCCTACTTTTCATCATTATCCTCAAGACCAAAAGATCTTCCTGAAGACAATATTTCCAAAAGTTGGATATGATATGACTTCTTTCAGCAAAATTATTGTTCTCTAGTGTAAAAAATCTTTTCGTAGTTCGACTTAAATTGATGTTCGAATGGACGTGATATTGACTATACGGTTGTGATTTGAATATCACATGGGATCCCGTTCTAAAACCTTATATGATTTTAAATATATATTGATACACAGTATATACAGATGATCTTGAACTTTTAAAAGACATGTACATGTACAGTGTGTTGCAAAAAGAATGATGAGGATATAAACGTCACAAGATTATCTCTATATTTATCAATTTCAGCAATCAAGTTTCCTTTGTCTTATGATCACATATTTGTGGAGGAAAAAGGTATACAAAGCTAATGAGATTTATCATCAGATTTCTAAAACATGTATTTAAGGACTGAACAAAGGTTTTTTACATGGAATAGGTTTTGTACAAATAGTAAACTAGCATATTTTACTTTATAAAAATTATAAACTCTAAGTTTTATATAAAAATTTTTTACAATCATAATTTCTAAGTTATAAAAATACTTATAAATCAATATAATTTTTAAATAAAAAATATAAACATATTTTAAAAAAATTAATGTAATTGATAAAATGATACTATAAATTAATAATAAGAAAAAATAACAAACAAATTTCATATTAATTTTTTTAATATAATTATATATACCTTGTATTACTATAAATAAACTTTTATTTAATTTGATATATCAGTTATATTATAATAAATTGTTATATCATTATTGTTTTTTATTGTAATATATTATGTATAAAATTATATTAAAACACTTTTTTACTTTTTTGTAATATAATTCAAAATTATATAATTTAATTTAAATAAAATTAATTAAAATAATTTTTTTATAATAATTTTTTTATATAATTTTTTTTAATATTTATTTGTAATAATATGATATTTTTTATTTAATAAATAAAATCTAAAGCCTATAATATAGGTATAAACTTATAAGCATCATATAATTGAAATAATATCAATAAAAATATTGATACTGTTTTTAATAAGAAATTTCAAATTAGTAATCAATATTTGGAATTATTAATAAGATATTGATATTATTTTTAATAAAAAATCTTAAATTAATAATTAATACTTGAAATTATTAATAACGTATTAATATTACTTTTAATAAAAAATCTTGAATCAATATTTAATAATTAAAATTATCAATATAGTATTTAAAATAATCAAATAAAAACAAAGACGCAATAATTATATACGTATATTTTTAAATAAAAAAAACAATAAAAAAATATTTTTAAAATTTATTATAATTAAAATTTTATGTATTAAAAAGTTTTTAACCTTTTATTAAATAATCTATATATAGATTAATTAAAAATTTTCTTAATCACAATATATCGAAAAATATACAGTATTTGTAATAAAATTTAAAGAATTTAAAATAATTTGTATTAAAAAAATAATTTTTCAATTTTGTAAAAAATTAATTATAAATCGAAAACAATTACGTATTTAAATAAAATTATAATATTAAATATCATAATTAATATAATAGTTATAAAGTAAAAAACAATTACTTTTTTTTTGACTTGCACTCTAAATCACGTGCAAACCATAATGTATGTTTCATGGTCCCATAATTCAACGATCAACATAATGTAAAACCTCCAATTCTTACATTCTTTTTTCTTTAAAAGGGCCGAGTGAGCGGTGGAATTTCCATAATGGGATTTCATCGAATCTCACACAGGCAATTTTGCCTGTGCAGAATGGTCATCAATACATTTTGCCGGCATAATTTTTGAAGTATTTGGATGGCAGTCTGGCTCCGCTTTGAGCTGACGCTATCCCTTATTATTTTCAGGCGAGGGGGGGTTAATTACTACGGAAGTCACGAGATTAGTCGTGATATGTTGAATCGAAAGAATCATGTGAAAGTATTGTAGTTGCATTTTATGATCGGAGATACGTGTATCATCTGAACATTTGCAAATCAGACAACCTAAAGAATTACAATAATCCGAACATGGTAACCCGTGATACTCAATCAATACATATCCGTTTTTACCATGCGTGTTAAATTCAATTTGCTGTATGCAGAAAACAAATCATTTCGGAATTTATAATAAAATCCCTTGTTGAAACAATTTTGCATTTTACGCCACGCCCCCAATCCAGCATACACAGCGCATCGCAGTGTGAATTTTAATATAATAGGACCCTACCATCCTTATTATTCTGCAGTCAAGGATCAGAAAGATTCTACGCACGTATATAAAGAAGGAAGGATTTGTATGCATCATATTAAAGTATGCAACTCTCTATGCAACAGAACGTGCAAATCTTCTATTTTCTAAATGGCTGACTTTTTTTGTTTTTTTTTTTGAATCTCATTTCTTCCTTCTACCTCACCGGTTGTTACCATTGGAGACATCATGACGAGGCAAGCTATCTCAAAGAGTGCACAAAGAAATACTTTAACGACTACTCGAAGAGATATTTCCGCAAATAGCTCAAGAGTGAATCATACACAAATCATAAGACAAAATGTTACTCCTCCAGATAGCCCTATTGCTCAACAGGAGAATCAGTTCGGAAGTAGATCTCCAGACATGAGAGATGACGAAATCCTTCAACACATTCAAGATAATTTTCAACATTGCACCATTTCTGAAGATTCCTTTCGAGAAAACCTGAAGGAATCGCAACGAGCTCAAATTGACGATCATCCTTATATCACTCCTCCTGTTACCCCAAAGGACGACAATCAGAATTCACCGATACTTTTCAAACAGAATGCAGTAACAGATTTATCAAGATATGATATCCCTATTCCACGAGACATCGTTTTCGCTCAATGGAATATAAAACAGGATTCATCTATTGATTTTAGCGGGGAAAGAAGATTTTCTAATAAATTCAAAGAAATGTTTCAATCTCGAATACCTTATGGTTGTTTCAAAAAAGTTTTGGATTATTTAGAAGATAGTTCGTCAGCACTTTACTCATTACTTTTAGTTAATCGTTCCGTTTGTCGACTTGTCATACCACGGTTATGGCGTCGGCCTTTCCATCATACAGTTAACAAGCCTCCAAAATTTGGTGCCATCTTGATCCAGACCTATGTCTCCTTTCTTTCGGATAACGAGATAGCACGTCTGTTAGATGCAGGAGTTCATTTGCGTAATGTTCGTAAGTCAACATTGGACTACACAAGACATCTTAAGGATTTTGATTCTCACATGGTGGAAAGGGCCGTAAAAGACTGGATCACAATTATGAATCCACGTCACCCTGACTCGATTCCTAAATTTCAAGTCACCAATCTGGTGATAAGTAATATGATTTTTCGTCATTCTGGCGGTTTGGAGAACCTGAGCATTAGTCCCGACTACATTGAGGAAAAGGTTTTCATCGATATCTCTCTATTCATCGGAGCACGTGATGCACTATCAAAGATCACGAAGTTTGAATTAGATATTCATGTTCGATGTGCATCATCCAACGAGGGTGTCTCAAAACTTGTCTCCATGATGTCTCAATACACTCACAATTTGCAACATATATCAATTAAGATAGGATATTTGGATGAACCGCATATTATCATACAATCATTATCTAAATTAATACGGTCTCAAAAAAAATTACGATCACTTGCAATCGAAAATAACTGGGATCCCTCTGTGATAAGTTTGATGGATCCCTCAATATGTAGTCAGGCGAATAGTCTGACTCATCTGACATACGAGGGGTTATTGATACCCGAAAAATTCCTTCAGTTATTAGAAGCTTGCAAGAATCTGGAAACTTTGGAGTTTAATGGATATTACAATCCGCGTAAGTATTCATTTGTGGATCATGGAATTACATCAACAAGATTTAATTTTAGCACGCTAAAATGCAAAGCCGACCTATCGAGCGTAAATCCATTTAATAGTACACGGTCAGATACGCTGGGAATAATTCTTCAGATGGTCAATAAGAATTTACGAAGTTTAATTCTCGGCGGAGCGACTGTAGAATTAATGGATATAATCAGCACGCATTGTACAAATGTAACGACATTGTATATCAAGGGACCGAACTTGAGAGCACCTATCTTGGAAAGGATGCTTAATAGATTGGTTAAGCTGGAAACCCTGGATCTCGGGGATATTCACGATGATATAACCTACATTAGCCATGTAGACTCGGCGACTGTAAAATTCGTGGCCGAAAGCATACCAACAAGCGTAAAATATTTTGGATTTCATTTTTCGATGACGACGGAGGGCCTGAGGCTATTCCTCGAGAAATGCAACGCAAGATTGGTGAAGATAGGATTGTTCAGGGATCGCCTGATCAAAGATGAGTCGATAGAAGTTTTGACTGAATATGCGATGAAAGGAGGATATCTGAAAAAAATTGTATATTATCCGGAGGTTTGGAAGAGGGACGGACAACAAAGCGATGGGTTCTCAGAAGAGGTATTGGAGAAAGCGTGGAAATGGATTCCAAATATTGTGAGGGAAACGTGCAGCGAGACTCGTATTCATGGTAAGATTTTCTTCTATCTATTCAGATTATCTATTTACTTGGGTGGAATCTTTTTTCACTGATTTTATTGTGAATTTTTATTATACCAGCCTAAAGGGAACATGATATGCAATCTCTACATTATATAAACCATTTCTTGTTTACAAGAATGTTAAGCTCTTAAGTTAGATTGTATTTTTTATTGGGTCTCTCATTGGACTAATGAAATCAAAGCAGAGCATGTGTATAATGTGTTTTTATGCTAGGATTTTTGTTTAGTTCAATTTTCGTGATCTGCACAACACTCGCGGAAATCTAAAGCGTTATACCATTAGACCCTCACTTTATTGTAAGGATCATACTACCAATTATGCATATGACAGCGCCTTTTTGTAATTATATAATGTAAAATAGTTATTTCTCCTATGTAGCACAATCATTATTTCACATATTTAAGCATTTTATTATATTCCGTTGGTTATATTCTGTTTGTATATTTCATTTCCCTTTCTTGCTTGTATTATATATTTATTCATTTTTTAATTCACATGCATCAATAATTGCATACTTGCAATCTTATGAATCACTCTTAAGTTGTGAATTTTACGTTAGCAGAGAGAGCGTCCTTGTATAATATACATTTTACAATTTCTTCTGTAAGATATACATTTATCAATTCTGGATTTTTTTTTTTTTTTTTAAAAAAAAAAAAATATCTTTGATTTTTCAATTTTTATTTAAAGCGATTATCGTGATATATCTCACATTTTTAAATATGTTTATAAATATCCTTAAGTATACGATAGTATCCGATATGTATTCTATAATGCCTCATATTTCAAAAGGTATCGTGATGTGGCATACAAATTGGCGTTCTTTTCAAATGGAGAAATGAACAATCGCGCGAGTACTCGTTATCAAACAATTAATTAAAATATTATTCTTTATATAACACAAACATGAATGCTACTTATTGTTATTCTGGTTTTCGATTCATCTATTCAAAACTATAACGCGATTTTTCTAACTTTCGTGTTAATACTGGACTTTATAAGGCAATCATTAATTTGTACGCAGTAACCTGCATTGTGTTGGCATTTGTGTCACAATGAAATCGTTTATAAAAAACGATAACTCGATTCAAATTTCACTTTCGGGTTTCTGAAAGGGTATTTTTCAAACAGAAAAATGGGTGTACACGATGGTAAAAAAGTGACTGTCACATGTAAGTTGACCTCACTTTGGAATTGAATTCTCTTTGTTTTTTTCTATCAATCATCAATTTTTGTTAATTTGATAGATTTCGACGAGTATGAAATTTGGTCGCAAATGGCTGACGGGTTTTATGCGCACCTTCCACTTCGTAATCTTCACTGGAAGTCTCCCAAGGGTCAAATACGTAATATAAACACATTGGATATTGATGCAAAAAGATTCACTCCAGATTCCATGGAGAAACAGCACATGATGCCAGAAACATTGTTGGAAAAGCCTTATCTTAACTTGTATCTCGTGAATTGCGAAGTAATTGTAACATTTTCATTTTAGGATTTATCAACTTTAAAAAAACCATTTAATGAGATGAATGAGATGATTACATTTATAGGACAACGAATTATATCGCACTACAGTTCGTCAAAAGATTCGCGATTGGATGAACATTGTGACTTCAAAGCGAAATCAAGAGTGGTTAATCGTTTATGTGACCAAGCAGGAAACGTTTCGAAACGCCGCAAGATATTTTAACATGAAAGGAACCGTGTTCGATAAAATCAAGGCTGATTACAATATCAACAAACGGGATAGGTAAATCCTATATTGGATACAATTTTTGTCTCATACTTTCTTATTTTACATATGCTCTACAACCTTTACGCTCTAGATGTGTGCAACTTCGCATCTTAGAAAATGACGTTGAGGACTATGAATCTTGGCAAGATCTAATGGCAAAAATGAAAGAAGGAATTCTGACTAGTTTTAATCAACACGTCGTTCAGTACGAGGAGGATATACGGCTCTTTGACTCTCATAGGAGCATGATAGGCTGGAATTACTGTAGGTTTTTTATATTAAAGGTAATTTTAATAAAACTTCTCAAGGCCAATGAATCACCTTTATTTTCATATTAACTAATATAATCCTGAATCTTAGGAAGGACTGGCTTTAACGTTTGAGGTTATGAATTTGTACGAAGAAGCATTGGTCCAATATGACGAGTTAGAAGCTTCTTTCTTCCAAGTTCTTAAAGGTTTGATATTGTTGTTCATGTTTACTTTATCCATCTATATCCATAAACTTATTTCGTCTATTCATCTTTAGATAGAGCGTTGGCTTGGTTCGGCAGTTTTGGAGCTACTGACCATGAAGACGATAGTGCCAATATCTTAGACGTTAAGAAGAAAAGTTACCGTGATCTGATTATGCAAAACGCAATTCCCGAGTTCGACTTCAGGAGTTATCTTTTTGCGAGACAATGTCAATTACTAGGAAGATTACAGAGGCCAGTAGATATTTGCCGGAGGGCACAATTATTTATTTCTACCTTCGGAAGAGCAATAAAAGAGCAGCAGGCAAATGTCGGAGAACATTTCCTTGAGTCTTGGATCTACTCATCATGTATGAGTGTGGTCAATGAATGTGAAGAATTGTTCTCATTGACGTCGTTGGATGATCACACGTTAATGGCATTCAATGCAGCCAAGGGAGAGCTCCTGGATTTGGCCAGGAAGCAGGTGAAAAAATTGTCCTCTATATGTACATATATTTGGACTGCACTTTCTGATTCAGAATCAACTAAACTATTAATATAGTTAGATAAGCTTGGAATTTATTATGGACACCTACCAGATTCGCTTCCCTTTATAACAGCTTTGGGTGAAGCGACTCCTCCAACTTTACCTGATTTAGAAAATGAAAACAAGAAAAAGTTCACTATAACTAACAAAGAATTAAAAGAAGCCATCGAATCCGCTGATTATTCCCAATTTGATTTATTGTACTTGGTAAGTCGTTGTTTATCATCAAAGGTGAAATGATCGAGAAATGATTTTACTAACAGGATGATTGACCTCTGTTAACCGAAGTCATTGACAAACCGAGCTCTGAAAGCTTACGAAGGGAGCACCCGTGTTCGAAGCTCATACCGCTTATCAGGAGATGTTGCGGCCTTGCAATTGTAAGTTCAGAAACTGTATAGACTTCTTTTTCATTACTTTTCTCACATTGTTTGTGCACTATCAGCCATCGCAAAAATTTTGAAAGTGCCTCACAGTTGATGGAGGATTTGCCTTGGCGATATGGCGAGCAGGGATGGACTGTCGTTGAAAATAGTCTTTTGTTTAAATACGCGGCATGCCAGAAGGAACTAGGGCAGAATAAGAAATATCCTTTTTAGGTGCTCTTATGTTTTTGTTCTTATTTAATTTCATTATATTCTTGTACCACCCTTAACTATTAATTTTACTTATGTGTTATCTTGCCTATCCTTGTTGAAGAATCATACCTTATTAACTAAAGAGGAGGTTACTTTCTACGCTGAAGAGGTAAAGAAACTTTGCGAATCCCTAGAAAAAGGAGAAGGTTTGAAGTCATCACAAAAATATTCCCTATTTTTGCGTGTAGTGTATAATAAGTAGCTCATATTTCGAATTTATTAGAAATTCTTCGTCCCTTCAAGCCAATGTTTTCTGTCTCTGTTGTATCCGTCGTTGATGACATAACAGATGAAGATGGACCTTACTTATCCGTTGAATTGACAAATCTTCTGCCCACGGTAATTATATAACTGCATCAGACCTCTTTTCGTGAAGAAAACCTCACCACACATTTATTATACCCGCAGTCGTTTACATTCAATGATCTAGTCGTTCGACTAGTAAGTGGTCAGGCTGAAGAAATTTGGTTTGGAATAAGAGATCAGGAACTCAAGCCTGGCTTGAACAAATATAATCTTTATTCCGATGTAAGTGCACGTATAAATAATAACTGTTTGTTTTAAAAAAATTTCCAGATTTTTATTCCTTTCTTTCTCACCTCTTAGAACAGTGCGTCTGGAAATTACGTTGCCGAGAATGTTCACCTATCTGTGGGAAAGGTGGTTTTCACTCAGAACTTCTTGGAAAGCAAAAAGAAATCCTTTAGAATAAATGAACATCCCGCAGTTTTAAGAGCCCAAATTACAGCACCCGATGACAGTAAGCCACAGAATTCTAATTTATTATTTGTTGGCGCGGTTGTAACACCTCTTTTTTTATTAGTTCGTATCGGTGAACAGCAATATTTTGTCGTCCAAATGTTCACGGGATTAACCAGCGTTACCAAGGGTACAATTATGCTTGAGCCTTTGTCCGAAGGTTTGACTTTTCCAGAGACTGACAAGTATCATGCCACTGTAAAGCTTGTGAATGGTGCGTATATTGTATAACCTGATGATATAATAATGACTCGCGTATATTGTATAACCTGATGATATAATAATGACTCACGTACATTATCCAAAAATTGCACTTTCTAAATTTGTTTGAATTTAACGCGTAACTTTCTTCTTTCGCAGAAGGTGTAATATCAAAAGAGATTCATTCAGAGGAAGATCTGGAAGTTTCATTAAATCAAATACGAATACCACCAGCTCAACCAAGTCAATTAATTCAATTTAATGTTCCATATGATTGTAGTTGGGGTGCCATCGAACATAAGGTTCATTGACCTTTAAAAGAATTTCTTACTGTTCTTTTGATTATCGTCACTTTACTGAAATACTGTTACAAAAACCCTTCAAGGAACAAATAAAAGTAACAGTGATGTATGAGAGCAAAGAAAAATCGCGTGTATTTACAGCTGTGGACACAGTCAAAATTTGGTTGCCATTGACTGTTACAGAATTAAATATTTTCCGAGACGATTGGTATTTGATTATTACTATGACTCATATGTCAAGAAATAACGCCTAATTAAATTCTTCTTAAGCCTGTTTCTAAAGATGGATGTTGCGTTGAATGGAAGCCTTCCTGTGCGAATTCTCGGGACGTCATTGGTTCCATCGAAAGTCTATGAGGTTGTCGACGTACCTTCCTTAGCGTCTCCGACTGTGGTGAGTAATCGGTTATTATTGTATGAAGTGAATCTTTCAAAGTATTAACTTTTATATCTACCTTATTTATTTTGCTATTCGTCCAAAGAGTCTATTTACAAAGCAGCACTCCTCATTTGTTTATAAACTAATAAGGTCTAAAGGTATCTAAATGATATACTTGTGCCCAAATTGTAATTTTTTCAGTGTTTGCACATAGAATGCTTAGGTCACATGAATGACCCTTATAAATAGACTTCACAGTGAAGAAAATTCGTGTTGCCTTTGCTTCTTAAATTACTTATGCATTCTTTTCCCATTCTGAAAGATAACCTCAGTGAAAAGTCGAAATCTTCGAGTACTAAGATCCACTTTGTTGTTACTTACCGAACACTCCAAGACGGTAATTGCTATTTATAACTTATATTTCGGTTTGGAAAACGCTAATCGATATCTCATTTGTTAATAGAGATAGAAAAATTTGTTGCACACACTCTAAATAATATTTTGAAATCAAAGAATCTGTTGCAACATTCTCGATTTCTTCTTGAAAATGCCAAAGAATATCTATTGAGATCGGTTGACTATGTGTCTTACGGCATGACAGATGCCTTAGATTTGGGTGAATTGGACGTAACTCAATGTGAGATTTTATTTGCAAGTCACGGAGCTTTCAAGGAGTCATTAATTGAAGTTGTCAAGGAATTTTGGCAGGTGAAAATTCAATAACATATACAGATTGCAGCAATAACTTCAACTAGGCATTAAATCAAGTTTTTACTAGGTTTGCAACCAAGCCACTTATGAAGACATTGCGATTTTTTCTAATGACCTCAAATTTACAATTTCCTTCCCTGTTGACGTACCTTCTTCAAAGGTGTGTTCTTATAATTATCAATTTTTGTTCTTGCAATTTTATCGTATTCTATATCGAATTCACCTTTCTGTTAAAATCAGATCCTTAACACTGTCGAATTAGTCATATCTAAACCAAATGATTTGATAGTCGGGGAACCGTGTCACTGTCGTTTGATAATTCGGCATTCATCTTATTGGAATTACATGCCTCCAACTGATAAAGACACTTTTGAATTCTATTATGATGTTCACGTGGATTTTGATAATTGGCTGCTAGCTGGACACAAAAAGTTATGCTTTTCTTCAAAGGTAATTTTGTGTATACATATTATTAAAGCGAAAACGGAATATCTTATCTCACGCGTGAATCAAACTGAACGCTCAGGTCGGTGAAACAAAGGAATTCCCCATCACATTGGTGCCTTTGAAAACTGGTAGTCTCCTGGTTCCTCTTGTCAGAGTAGCTAGTCCTTCCCCTAATGT